AATTCGAAAACGTGTACATCACGGTGAGGAAAGAAGCCTACACGAAGTAACGAAGGGCCCCCGTAATACCCATCTATGGTAAGCGGGCCCCCACCCCCGAGAAGCCAGCCGAATTATATAAGAGCGGCCCTTGCCTGTCATGACCAAAACTGTGTTTGACGCGGAGTTGCTGTGGACCCACTGCTGTCCTCCATGTTTCCGACGATGTCATTCCGCCCTGGTTTTTTGGCCGTGGAGGTGACCGTTCGTTCCCTGCGCATCCGTATGTCGCTGTTTGTGCTCGAGAATTTAGGGCGCGGTTCCTGCTCGGACCTGGTCGCCAGTTGGTGTGAAGATGCACCGCGCGCCACCTTTTCCTTCCAAGTCGCGGGGTCCAGGGCCGCTATCTCCAAATGCCGCCCTTTCCGAGCAGCGCGCTATTCGCATGGTTGCCGTGGAATTCGTAAAGTATTTACACGCGGATTCTCTGCGAAGGGGGACATCGTCCATTTGCGATGAGCATTGGTGCATGTGGTGTGCGAGGCATAGCACCGATGGAAGAATACACCCGAACCCCAGCTTTTATGATTTGAATTGCCTTATGGGTTTCATATCCTATTGGGACGGACATGTGGCACGTGCACTTCCTGCCCATCTCGATGCATTAGCGGGGTGGGGGAAACATCCCACGACAGAGATCCCCAAGCTTTGGCAAGTCATGGCAGGGACGTGGGATGGAATGAGTGAGATTTGCAGGAATAATATATTAAGTATATTTGGTAATTCGGACGGGTTTGAGCTGGTGTTTTGGTCGCATTCCGAGATGTGTGTGTGTGTGTGTGTGTGTGTGTGTGTGATTTTTTGAGACTGAGGCCGACGAGCAGAGTTGCAAGTTGTTTTACATAATTTCTTCTGATTACGGCGCTGCAAGGGCTGATTTTTTTCGGTATCATGTTCTGTGTTATCTGGTTGCTGTCCGCTGTGTCCGTTCTTGCGTGGACAAAGACCTCCACAATGCTCATCGGACGTTCGTGTGGTTATTGATTTGTAGATCGTCGTCATTCAGCGGGTAATTCGGTATATATTCTGATGTGTGTCTGATCATGGACGTGTCTGGACGCGGGTGCAACGCGAATCGTTCGGTGGAGAAGATGCATGTTACACATAGTGTGCGTCGATTGCGGATTTCCACAAGCGACGCTGAGTGACGACGGGAAACGATGAAGGATGGCGCGGGAAGACGAGGGAGGACGAGGACGATGAGGACGATGACGAGTGACGACGCGTGACGACGAACGTCGGCGTGCCGCGAAGCAATGTTACGCATGTTATGCTCTGGCTCGTGTGCCATGCTGTGTGGTGCTGTGCTGTGGCATGTCACGCGTCCATGTAGCCGTCTGAAGTACTTGTTCGTAAGGGGTATGATCGAGCTCCTTGTAACACGACAAGGTGGCGGACTACGGCGGCATTTGGGCGGATCACAATGCCACTATGAATTTGCCAGGAGGCTGGCCGCAGATGCTGGGGGCGCTGCCGCAACCAGTGCCTCCCCTCGTTTTAGCGACCTGGGGTGGCAAAACAAACATGTGGGACGGCAGGCTGGATTGTTCTCCACTTCTGAGACGGGGTGAGATATGCAATGGGGTCCTATGCGCCGCGAGGGAGCACCCCCTCATGTGGCAAGTGATTGAGGGTGTCCGTGACAGTATTCGAGCCTATCCAGACAAGTTCCGTACGGGTTGGAAAGGTGTAGTTGGCAAGCCTGGCGTTCTTCGTCTGACAGGTCCGTTGGCTATGTCCGAAATCATGTGCAATAATCTTCATTGCACCCGCACATATTGGTTGACGGCGTTTCCAAGCTGGGTATTGGATTTTATGCGCTGAAAACTTACGAGGTCTTGGTGAAGGAAAAACGCAGCCGGGCTTGGGGGCGGCAAGGTGCACCATTCGAAGCTGAAGACGAGGATTGTGTTGAACGTGCCTGGTCGGGGCTGGAATCCTGAGCAGGAGCAGGATCCGAAAAGGGCGCGTCTCACCCCCCCCCCGCGCCCAGAGGCACTGTCACCCGTCGCCTTATGCGGCCCGGCCACCCAGCACGGACCAGCAGCGCGTCCGGTGGCCAGGCATGAACAGATATGAAAGAGGGCCTTGAGGTGCAATGTAACATGTTTCCTAGTGTAATTTCGGGGCGCCCCCCCGCGATGCATGACAGTCATGAGAACCATGAATGCATGGACTTGATTGAAATGTACATGTACACATACTGCTTTGCATGTATACATTTACGGGCGTCCCCCTGCTAAGCTCATGAGTTATTTTTCTGTTCCGTGGATGATATGGAAAGTCTAGAATGCACATCTTGTGATGTCTTTCGATGCAGCGAGAAGCATCGCGCCGCCTGGTTCATAGAGGGGCCATGTCGTGCACTCCCGAGTTTTCGCGCACCATCACCTTGCTTCGGCCTCACGGGCGTGCCGCGCCAGGGAGGCAACCTGTCCGCGCCGTGGCCTCGCGCCAAAGGACTTGTGCGCTCGTGGCGAGTCGGCGCCAGTGGCGCATCCGTTTAATGTAGCTGCTGGCGCGCTTTGGCGCGTCGGCCGCGGCGCAGCCATGGGCGAGTGGGGCTCAGGACATGGGGGCAATCAGGGGGGGAGGGGTCGAGAGAGGGGAAAGGCGCTGAATGACGCGTGGGTCATGTTCTTCGAAGAAGAATCACTGCAGGATGATTCCGCCTGCGCTACTGGCGCACCCGTGTAATGTAGGCTGGCGCGCTTGGCGTGTTTTCGCGCCGAGGAAACGGCCCTTTCTGCATGGGCTTGCTTGGTGCTCTGTGCATGGCCGCTCGGGCGAGACGGAACCATGTGAGGGTTCGCCCACGCGCGGTAGTTAGGCGGCATGAGCGCGAGCATGATTGTGTCCACAACACGCTGGAGGACGGCTCCCACAACAGTGATTTCGGCAAGAGTCGTGCCACCGTGCTTGTTCTGTGGGCTATCGTCCTCGGGGATGCATCTGAGAGTCTCTTGAAGTGCCTCTCAGAGGCCTCCTGGCGGGCTCCTAGGGGGCGTCTGGTAGGCGTTTTGGGGCCTCTTGGGGGCCTCTTGCGAGTCTGTTGGAAGCCTCTCGGGGCTATTTGGGGTCGCCTCGGGGGTCGCTGGGGGGCTCTTGGGGTCATCGCGGCGGGAAAGACTTGAGATGTCAGTCCGTTTTGCCCCTCTTGGGCCCTTCTTGGGGCCCTCGAGGGCCGTCTTCTGGGCCACAGGGGCCGTCTTGGGGCCCTCTTGGGGTTGGGCCGTCTTGGGGCCCTCTCGGGCCTCATGGGCCGTCTTGGTACGATCTTTGGGGCTCCTTGGGCCGTAGTGGATGCTGTCAAGGCGAAAAACGCTTGCATGTCGAAGATGCGCATTTTCCTGCCGGAGTGGCACGATTTTTGGTTCTTGGGGCCCTTCTAACGGCCTTCTAGGAGCACTCTGGGCTGTCTTCGGGGCTTCGTAGGCCGTCTTGACGCCATCTAGGACCGTCACAGGATTACCCTGGGCCGTCTCGACGCTATTTCGGATTGTCTCGGCGCTCATTGGGCCGTCTTGGGCTCCTCCCTCCGGCCCCCCCCCATCAAATGCGATTTTTGGCCCCAGGGGAGGTGAAAAAGGGTAGGGGGACAGCCTATCATCTCACACGCCTTCACACCCGCAGCAAGCGGGGCAGGTGGATTCCAGCTACCTTGCAGCGGCCTCCGCTATCGTACTCTGCAATTCCTTTGGTGCTGTTTCAGCGCTATCAGTTCACAGTAGCGACTGTGAAGTCGCTTTCCAATAGTCGGATGTTGGCGCCACGGCCAACATGCACTGGCTCATGGTGCCATCGCGATTGTTAGTTTGCTACCACAGTCGATACAATGAACCCTATGTGTGTCAGAGTATTTAGGCATATTGACGAGGTTTCCAAAGAGCCCGCTCGGAATCATCCCAGCTGAGAGGTTCAAGAATGTAGAAATCATGAACGTGTTCACTCACATCCCAGGGGTCTGGGGCACGAGCCGTAAATTAGTAGGTCGGGCCCCTGGGGGCTCCTTGGCCAAAGTGCTAGGGGGAAATGTGCCCAGGCCTGTTCGGGCCCAGCCGCCTGCGCGCGGCCTCACCTGTCTCCTGGTGGTGATATTTTTGCCCTTACCTTTATCCAGGCCATCACAACTTGACGTTGGCGGGAGGTAGCTGGTGGCCGCGGGGGTAGGGGGAATGCGTCCACACTGCTGGTCGTGAACGCCTTTCGGGTGCGGGGGGGTGGTCTTTGGGCGGGCGTGCCTGGGGGGTGCGTATAGCTGGCGTGGATGGGCAGTAGGCGTTCTGGCCGATCTAGTTGAGGTTTTGCCTCACTCCTTGGCGATGCCATCAAACTTTTTACGGTGCCCGTTTGTAAGGATAGCCCAGAGCAGAGAGGATCGGAAGCGGCAGCATTGTTTGGATGGGTTATTAAAGTCAGGGAGGAGGAGGAGGAGGAGGAGGAGGAGGAGGAGGAGGAGGAGGTGGAGGTGGAGGAGACGTGGGAGACGGGAGTAGAAGAGGATGAGGATGAGGAGGAGTGGGATGATGATACGTTGAGAGAACAACGGCCCCACGTAGGATGCGGGGACAACGTGAATCCATAATTTTCTTCCTGAGCATTCTCTGAGGATGGAGGGCTCAGGGTGAACTTCATATGGGCTATAGCACCTCGAAAATCAATCCGTCTTGTGACTCACCTTTGGCAGATTCAAGCCTCGACATCCATCGAAACAGCATTTCAGATTTTGCCCTTTGCCATCCACTTAAAGAAAATGATCAGTATTCCTTTGTGGCATCATTGCTAGTGCGAATCGATGGGTCGCGGGTCGATGCTCGTTCAGCAGCGATGGCTCTAGTGCTTCAGTTTGTCCCCGGTGGGACGGGTCGGCTCTCAGAAATCGCGGGAGTAGGGGTGACTCACTTCAGTGGTTTTCAGGTTCACATCCCAACGTCGGATCGGTACCTTGCTGCTGTCGCGAGGAGAACGAGAAGATCACATTCGTGCTCGACTGCCACTTGAAGACGCTCGAAGAGGGCGGCTGGCAGAACGACGAGGCGTGCTTGGCATTCGAACTGGGCAGCGTGATGGGTTTGTTTGCTAGAGCGGCTCATGTTTTGAAGGGGGCTCTCTTGTTCAACCTTCACATGGGGACGCGTGTCGTGAGGGCTTTATGGAACGAGGGAGCGAACTTCTACGCCCCCTCTGCTGCCTCTTCCTCCCCTCTTGTCGACATCCTTTCCTCCTTACGCGCTCCGCATCCGATGGCTTGACCTTTGGGGTTCATTCAGGGGCGTCGCTGTGGTACCCGATGGCCGCGTGAGGCCCCAGTCACGGGCGAAGGATGATCATGAGGATAATGAACGCCATGAGTGAGGAGGGGGGGAGGAGGGAGGAGGGAGCAGGGGGAGGAGGGTGAGGGAGGAGGGAGAGGCAGGGAGCAGGGAGGGATTGGATCATGGTCCGTTTCGTAGTTGGCCAGGGAGCTATGTCGAAATTATTGGGTGGGCGACCCATGTCGCCGCGGGGTGATTGAGGGGAAGACATTACGACAGGCTTGTGCCTTGTCGACGCGGCGGCGAGCAGGGCTTTCAGGGTTGAACCCCGCCAGTGGCCCAGAATCAGCCGACGTCGAACGCGATCGTTCGAAGTTAAACGATCCACGTTGTGTCATAAACCAAAGCCGACGTCGACACGACACGAGCCTGCCGTAGAATGGCGTGCTCTGTGGGTCTCGCAGTGGCAGGGCGAACGAGGTCAGACGCAGGAGGCGCCCAAGTAATGGCGGCGACAATTTCAGACATGGAAGAAGGTCGTTGCGTGGTATCCGACCCCGACCCACACCTCCGGGTCGGTTTTGGAGGGAGCCTGCAGCCACGTCCCGAGCAGCCGCGCCCTTCCTGTCACGACCTGGACCTCGGACGACTGGCCTGGCTGTTGTCAGTCCCCCTTGCAGGTGCCGCGGATGTGCCCGTCAGGGGATGTCGTTTCATCAGGCAAGGGAGGGAGACAGTGATGGTTCTGCCTCCTCCATACTCTCCTCCTCCTCCTCCTCCTCCTCCTCCCTCCTCCCTCCTCCCTCCCCCCTCCCTCCTCCCTCCTCCCTCCTCCCTCCTCCCCTCCCTCCCCCTCCCCTCCTCCTCCTCCTCCCCCTCCTCCTCCTCCTCCTCCTCCTCCTCCTCCTCCCTCCTCCCTCCTCCCTCCTCCCTCCTCCCTCTCCCTCCTCCTCCTCCCTCCTCCTCCTCCTCCTCCTCCTCCTCCTCCTCCTCCTCCTCCTCCTCCTCCTCCTCCTCCTCCTCCTCCTCCTCCTCCTCCCCCCTGCGGGAGCGTGCGCGCGGGCCTTCTGGGACCTTCAGCCACCACGCTGCGTGGCAGCCCACCTCCCTCCCTCACGCCGCCCTGCCACGCTGTGTCGGCAGGTGCGCGCGGCGCTTCTCAAGTGGAGTCCTGGGTCACGCACTGGACGAGAGAGGAGGGACAGAGAAGAAGAGAGACCAGAGCTTCCGAGCTTTCTGTGCCTCGTTGGGAGGCTTGCGGGTGAGGTTGCGGGGTCCCCGCAAGTAGGGCCAAGTCTCCGGGGTGGACAAGTTCATCTCCAAGAGGTCACTGTCGAGGTCTGGGATGTCCTTCAGGTAGTGGCCGCGACGGGTCTGCAGCGGAATTTCCTTCTCCAGCATCAGTGTGGTTGCACCGGACACCTTGCGACCGATTTCCGCCCACAAATGGCAGAAACGGGACTCGCGCTGGATGCCAAATTCCGTCTCTGCTTGGACGGTCCAGACTCCGCATTGGGGAGCTCGGACAGCTCTGCCTGTGGCATCTCCAGAGCGTGTTCTAGCTTGCTGGCGTTTGAAGCTTAACCGGCGATGGAGTTTTTCTGTGCAAGGTCGCTGTGTGCGCCATGGTAGACGCCATGCTGGCGTCGTGGAGTGAAGCTAACATGGACACCCCGTCCGTACGAGCAATGCCCGTCGAGTAGAGGCTTGTGTCGTCGTTGGCAGTTGCGCACAGTTCGAACGGAAAATTTCTGTTCGCCTCGGTGAATCCGGGCTCGCTGCGCACCCGAGAAGGGTCCGAGGTGGGATTCTGATGTGCGCATGGGCTGCATTCGCGAAGCCTTGCGCCTGCAGCCCGCGCCACCTAGCGAACTTCGTTTGGTTCCAAGCGCGCCGTGCGGAAACGCTCGGCAGCGCGCGGTCTATCGCGCCGGCCCGCAGGGCGGGCAACGGATGCTCGGCGCCGTCGCCGCTGGAGCGGGCAGCAGGGGGATCTCCCGGGCCCTTTCGGCCGAGCTCTCCCCAAGTGTGCCCTGAGGAAGACTTGTGTTGTGTCCTCTGTGTGCGTGGTGTCTCAACGTCACGACTGCCCGTCACAGGAAAGGAAGGAGTCGTTGTTCGAGGTGCGTGAAACAGTTGTGACACAGAAGCGCCGCGATGACTTTCGGGTGGACGAAAGTCGGCGTCGAGATCTGGGTCGTCGAAGTCGGGGATCAGGATGTCTTTGGCATCGATTGCCATGGGGCCTCACATTTCAGCGGCATCCGAGGCAGGATACGTACTTGATATTACGGCGCCAGGGTCATAATCTGCAGGCGCGCGCGCGCGGGCTTCTGGGGCCCTGAGCCGCCGCGCAGCGTGGCAGCCCCACCTCCCTCCCGCACACGCTCCCCCTCCTCGTCCTCCTCGTCCTCCTCCTCCTCCTCCTCCTCCTCCTCCTCCTCCTCCTTCTCCTCCTCCTCCTTCTCCTCCTCCTCCTCATCCTCCTCCCCCCTCATCCTCCTCCTCCCCCTCCTCCTCCTCCTCCTCCTCCTCCTCCTCCTCCTCCTCCTCCTCCTCCTCCCCCTCCTCTTTTTCCTCCCGCTCCCTCTCATGGAGGAGTGTATGGGCATGAAACAACGCCCGCTGGCCAACGGGCTGGCCCGCGCCATGCTGATATTCCAAGAGGCAGCGCGTGATGGCAAGCTTGGGGCAGAGGCGCGGTGGCTTACGTGAACTCGCTTGGTCTTTCTCAAGAAAATGGGATCCGCCAAGCCGAGGCCGTTCGAGGCGGCGAGTTCCTGCGAGCAGCAATAGCCAAGAAGTTGCAGAAGACGGCGGCTCCGAAACTCCGAGCTGCTTTCGCGGCCTCTCGACAGTGGGGCGTCGAAATGCCCGGCGGCTGAGAAGCTCTTGTGCGTTGGCGGTCATTGGTGGAGGCGGAGGCCGTGGCTGGGCACTTTCCCCTCGTGGTGGCGTTCGACCTGGACTTGGCGTGGCACACGCCGACAGAGGGTCTGGTCAGGGGGGCGTACCGGGCCCGCCGCCTCTGTTCTCACGCTCGGCGACGCCGTGGGCGCGGCCCGCGACAAGCTACGAGGACAGGCGGGCGGTCGCATAAGTGCCGTGGACGTGGTGCAGCGACGACGGGCAGGCCTTTGTCTTCGTCGAGGTCGCGGAGAGGTGGCTGCGGCGCATGACCAAGCGATCGCTAGCATCGGGTGTAGCAGGGGCAGTGGGCCCAAGTGCAAAAACTTCGCGCGACTTCTGTGCCACCCAGGCCGACGGGGCCACCTGGGCGGTTGGCGGCAGGGCTGTCCCCGAACGCCAGCACGGCGTCAAAGTCCTGGGGCCATGGCGGGAAGCAGCGAATATGTCAACCACCATTTCCGGCGCACGTGCAATAGGATCGTCGCCCAGAGGGTCGGGATTGGGGGCCCGGGGCAATCCTAGTGCGAACTCGTGCTCCACCGCCGCTGCTTCGGTGTCTCCAAGGTCGGCTACATTCTCCGGTACAGCGGGGACCTGGTTAACGACGATTTCCTGGCTGCCTTTGACGATTCGCTTCGGCGCGGCACAGAAGACGCCCTCCACGGTAAGCTCTTGGACGAGGGATGGATTCGGGCCACTCTTTCTGTGGGCGCGAGTGGACTCGGGCTCCGGGAGGCGTCCGATTGCGCTCTGCCCGCTTTAATTGCCAGTCCGGTCGCCTGGCGGCCGCTCGTCGCAGCCATGTGCGCTCACGTGGAGGAGGGTGGGTTGGGGTCTGCTGCCAGGTGCATGTGGGAGTGCGACAAGCACGCGGCGGCGCAGAGGTAGCGGGGCGTCCTCCCTGTCGGCGTCCACGACGCCGTGCGCGTCCACCTCGAGGGGGCATCCGCGCTGGCAGAACGCCGCTGGCGGAACTGGTGCGCTGGCGACTGAGGAAGGGCCAGGAGCCGGCGGGCGCGCTGCCAGCCATAGGCCCGGCCCGGCGCGGCGGCCGTGGCCGAGGCGGGCGCGGAGGACCCCGAACAACCGGCCGCCTCTCGGGGCTGCGGCGCGCTGAGCCTCCAGCGCGACCTCGCCAGAGCGGCGGACCGCGCAGTGGCCGCCGGGTTCCTCTTTCGAGCGCGAGCGAGCGGAAACGCCGACGCAGTGCGCCGCCTCCAGGAATTCTGCCACCCAAACCAATGCCGCGACTGGCTGTGGGCCGCGCCCCCGCGCAATCGCGGATTCTGACCAGTGGCGAGTTCGCCTTCGCCGTCCGCGTCCGCCTCGGCGCAGGGGGGGCCCGAAGAGGAGGTGGTGTGCGCTAAGCGCGGTGGGTGCATCGTTGGCCCGTCTGGCAGCCGCGGGCTGCTTTGCGCCAGAGGCCCCTGGAATGCGGGACATCTGCAGTTCCTGACGACGTGTATGCATTCACCAACGCTGTTGATGGCAGCGCAGAGCTTGAGCCAGTAGGCCTCGTGAGTTTGCGCCCAATGCTCCGGCCTGCGGACGATTTGACTGGCGTTCCAGATCCGTCTGGGCGCCTGGCGGCATTGGACGCGGGAATCATCGCGCCTTTGTCGGCGGGGGCAGGCGACGACTGCGCGGAGACGATGGCGCGCAGGAAGCAGCGCCGAGCCGACGGCTTCCGAAGCGAGCTCGAGGACATCGGAGTAGAGTATTGGGTCCGGGCTGTGAGCGCCTTCGGCCACTTCCACGATGAGTTCTTGCGAGTGCTGCAGTCGATGGCCCGCGCGCAAGCGCGGCGGCGAGGCGCGGGGGCGCGCGTAGAGCTGCGCCGCGCGCAGAGCAGGATCGCCGTCAGCGTCTGG